CCCCCGCCCCAAGGTCACAGCCCACAGGCTCCCCTCCCCACCCCCACAGAAGCCCAGTGGAGGTGGCTGTACCCTTCCAGACCACGGCAGACCTGACTGCTGAAGCCAGCGGGCCACACGGGCATAGGCACACATGCACAGGTGACAAAGACCCTCCGTCATCCTGTATGTATAAAATACCCACTCGCACTCAGGCACAAATGTACAAACAAATGCTCAGGTCTGTGTGCACATGCAGAGATGCACACACACACCCTTGGCTGCCAATTCTGGGTAAACTGAATGTAGATGAATTGTTTAGAGCCTTCTTTCTCCCATTTGGACTATTTTTCTCTCCTTGCAGCACTTTCAAGCCCTTCTCATCTTTCAGACACCAAATGCAAGGATCATATTCTTTCCTTTACTCTCAGGAGTTAGACACTTCCTGTGCTAGCTAGTATCACCCCCACTGCAGGAGTTATTTGCACTGCTGAAGATCCGGTCAGGCACAGCTCTACCCAAAGTGAATTTAGAATAGTGGATTTCTGTGTCATGGTGGGGAAAATATTTGGAAGGGATTTTCCCCTTAGGAGATACCTTCCCAATACCTTTGTGTGTGTGTGTGTGTGTGTGTGTGTGTGTACTCTGTCCCCTCCTTCTTCCTCCAGGAAGAAGGGGATTCTTCCTGGATTCTTCAAACCATGCCCCACCTCTTAGCTCCTCCAACCTAAGCCCACAGGGCCTGAGGGATGAGAGGACACACCACCCTGGCCAGAAGCCCCGACAGGACCCACCGCTGCCATCCTCCAGGCTGGGCTCGGGGAGGGGTGAGGCTGGACCGGAGATGTCCCTGTCCCCGTCGGGCAGGGAGGGGCTGCTGTCCAGCTGTCCCACCGGTGGAGGCCAAGGAAGGTCTTTGATGACCTTAATGTCAACTGGAGCCAGTAGCAGCAGGGAGAAGAGAGACAGACAGTGACAGGGACAGAGACAGAGAGAGGCAGAGGTTGAGACACCAAAACCCAGAGCCAGGACACAGGACAGCCTAGAAAGGAGAAGGGTCAGAATAGAGGCAGGGGCGACTTCTGGATGGGGAACAGGACTCTCAGAGGGCTGGGTGGAGCCACACTGACCACACTGGGCTGGCCTGGTCAAAGGGTGGGAGGCCCAGGTGGCAAACCGCAGGACATAGGGGCTTGCTCTGCCAGCCCTGTGGATCCCCTTCATTTGACCCCTCACAGGCCTCCAGGGACCAGAGGGACCAGGAATGGAGGAAAAGAGAGAGAAGGAGCTGCCCATACCTCCCGGCACCACACCCAGGTTCCCTCAGCCTCCTAGCACCCCAAACTGGCCTCCTTTCCACCTTTTCCCACAGCCTAACAGAGACAGCCCAGCTTCAGGCCACCAGGAATACTCAGATGTGGGGGCAGATGTTTTAGTGAAATTTGCCCCCACACCCTAAATCCCAAGCCTTGACAAATTAGAAGACTGATGCCACTGGTGGCTCCAGGGCTGCTAACAAGGTTTCCTAATGACGAGCATAGATTTTCCCATTAAGCAATCCAAACAGTATTGATTCTCCAGGGAGGCTTCTGGAGATAAACGGCCCATCCTCAATGGTGCTCGCTTTACAGGAAACAAATTAGAAACCTGTGGTTTCTCAGTCTGGCTGCCGGGGTGGGGAGGGCAGAGCCAAGAGCTGGGCCCAGCTCCAGGGTGAGACTCTTGCCCAAGGAGGAGTGAGGGGGACATGGGTATGGGAACGAAGTCTAATGGCATTAAAGTCCTTTTTGTTCTCACTGAATCAAGGAACCAGGAGTTAAAGCTGGGTTTATACTCCAGGCTCTCATGCTCAACCCCCCCCCCCAACCCCACCCCACTCAAATGACCAACACACACCTCTCCATGTCAGGTTCCAGGCCTGGGATGGCTTCTGGGGTGCTCGGTACGAAAACCTATCCTCGATCAGCAAAGGGGATTTCTTATAGTGTCCCTCCCCACTGGTTCCTGCTTCCCTGAAGTCCCTCTGAGAGTAGGCACCCCTTGTCTGGCAAGGCTTACTGCCAGGAGACACAGCCCTCTAATTTGGGGCTGGTATCTCTTAACAGTTATACAGGCAGCTGTTTTCATTGTCTGGAGTGTTAAATGCCTTCTTTTGTTAAGGGTAAGTATTTAACATATGCCACAAGTTTTAGAATTTTGTTTGGAACTTCTTTATTTTTAAATATACCCAGCCCCCCAAAAGATGGAAGCAGACCAAGCCTCTTGGCCTCTGAGAGGTGGTGGTTCGGGGAGATGACTTCACCCTTCTCTTGTGCCCATTCCCTGACCCTGCACACAGTGCTACGTCCACAGGGCCAACTCATAGCTCCATGGTGCGGACTCAACCATGCTTCCCTCCTGTACCTCCCCGGTCCCAGGGCTCCACTCCTTCCATTCCCGAGCCCGGACAGCTACTGAGAGGCCCCAGCAGACATGCCCTCTCCATCCAGGACTCACCAGCAAAGGCTTTAGAAATCCGCTCTTTCTTCCACTCCCAGGGCTGGTCATACTCCTCGGGGGGCCTCTCGTCATCCTCAGGCAAGCGGGACTCCCGGGGCCAGGGGGCCCCCTCACCCTCGGGGGTGGCCCCCTCCTCCTCTGGCTCATAGGGCGTGTCATACAGAGGCAGGGGCTGAGCTGCAGTCTCCTTGGAACCCCGGATCTCTGCCGGAGAAAGGTAGGAGGGAGGTGTGAGAGAGCCCTGGCTGCCTGGCTCAGCCCCTCCAGCAGTACTCCCCAGCAACCGAGACAGACCTCCTTCAGAGATGCTGCTGGCTCTGGGGCATATATCCAGGGTCCCACTCCCTCAAAACACCTCTGGGGTTTCAAAAGCATGGGACCCAACAGAAGCAGGGACAGAGAGGTGCCAGAGTGAAAGACAGAAGAAAGATCCTGCAATGGCCAGCAGGGGCTGGGGAGCTGAGCTTACACATTTAGGAAACCAAGGCAGGGTCCTTTCCTAGTCTATCTCCTTGCTGTCCAACTCCATTTATTTCCTTGTGTCCTAAGTAATACCATTTCACAATCTAAAAAAATCCTTCTTTGTTGTTCAGATACTGCTGACTACCCCGTCCTTGAAAATGTCCCCTTCATGGACTGTCTTCCTCTTTGATCACCCTGTTTGGTCTCTTTTCCTGGATCCTCTTTTGGTCTCTGTTTCTCACGGCAACATCTTACTCATTTCTCCCAGCCCTCACTCCTTGAACTACTTGCCCAGTCTCATGGAACCCCTTGCATCTGTATGTTTCCAGCGGCCATAAAGATGTTTCAGTTTGATGTTTCAAACTCACCACTTTCCTCAAAAGTTCTTCTAGTCTGCTCTGCGGTTCTCTTTTGGGGATGTCTGACCCCAGTGAAACGCTCATAAAAACTATGGAGCTCCCCAGAAAAATGTGCAAATTTTCGCATCAATACCAGGGTACTCATGGACCTCCTCGGGGCCACACCCCTCTGATCCAAATATGGTAGCCACCCTCTCACTTTCTCCATTTCTTCCCACTACACTGCTCTCCTTGGTGCTGGTCCTCCTTCATTCTGAGTCCCATGTGTTCACTGCAAATGCCTGATGAGTCTCACCCTCATCTCTCCACATCTAGATTACTGCTAGGGCAAATCTCCATTCTTCAGGCTCTTGTTTTATGGGCTCCAGGGAATAACACTCCTGACTGCTCTCTGCCTCCTCACCCACCTTGCCCAAGGAGGGAGAGCAGCTTATCTGATCTGTCTTCTTGCAGAGAGAGAACATTCTGGTTCTTTCTCCTCCTGCCCTGTGCAGGGGCCTACAGCTGTGCTACGTTGCTCGAGCCTGAGTGGGCAAGTTTAATTCTGTGGTGAAGCACTAAGAAACCCATTATGATGACATAGTTAAGGAATGTTCTCCAATCACCTTTATCAGTAATAAAACTGACATTGTTATCTCCATCTTACTGTTTCCTTGATCTTATTTCTCAATTATTTCCAAACTCCAGAGGGGAAAAAAAGGGTGTTAATTATTGGTTCTGTAAAGCCTTAGTAATTTCCACAATAGCCTACTAACTCATCTTTCTGATGCCCAGTTCTTCAAGTCTGTTCTGTACACCAAAGCCTCTGTAATCCTCCTAAAATGCCTTATTTGTCCTGTTCCTTTCTTGCTCAAGAATCCATAATGGCTCCCCTTCCCCTTTTGGAGCAAGTCCAAATGCCTCATTCCAGCCTTCAAGGCCCTTCACTGCCCCTCTTGGCCTCTCTCATCTTGCCTCTCCTGTATGCCCAGCACTAAGATTACTTGCCCCTGAACAAATCTTCCTTCCATCCTGCCTTGGGACCTTGGCGTAGACTGACTCACTGTCCTCCTCTCTGATCGCCCCCATTTGATCTTTACCTGGATCTTTTCTTGGTCTCTGTTCCCCAGGACCAGGTCTTACTCATTTCTTCCTGCCCTCACTCCTTGAACTACTTGCCCTGTATCATGGGCATTGCATCAGCATTTATAGCCATGCGCTTCCAACTGCTGTAAAGAAATTTCACTTTGACATCACATTGTTTCAAATTCACCACCTTCCCTAAAGGTAAGGGAAGCACTAAGGGGACCAATGACTCTGAGCCCTCACCACTATCCGACTATGCCAAATGCTTCCATCTGTCTGACCTTTGGTTGTATGACCTTCTCTACCGCCTCTGGTCTCCAGCACCACAAATCACAGCTCCTTCTCCAAAGTGACTATCTTGAAAGCAGTGGTCACCTTCCCTGAGGACCCAGCAAAGGCATTCTCCATATTTTTTAGAGACCAAGGAATCAGTTCTTAGACTTCTGGGTCCCAGAGCTTGTTTTGCAGATACCCAAGCCTCAGGGAACAACCTCCTTTCCCCAACCCTCTCCCTTACTCTATCACTCACCAGCCATCATCTTTTGGGCCTCATAGGGCTCCATGTAGCCATCATTTTCCAGGACCTTTTCTGGGGCTCCTGAAGCTCCTACTGGGCCGTCACCAGTCTCCTGGACATCGAACGGGTCCGCATAGTCTTCTAGGATTGCCAACTGTGGGAAGAGAGCAGGCTTCAGACATCTGAGAGACAGCTCTGCTTCTCCCAAGATGCTCTATCCATGGGAGCAAGAGTCCTGGAAGGCTGTCTTAGACCTGGAGCCCCAGGTCCCCAATGGCAGGCTCTGAGCTTAGTTGGGGACAAACTCTGGCTCTTCCTTTGTAGGGGTCTTCCACTAGGCTGCCAAAGAGTGGAACTTTCTTTTCTGCTAATTTTATGCCTCTGGGCCATCCCCTGGGCTAAATGACCAGGATGAGTCTCTAGGTCTTAAGGCCTGTCTCGACCAGGGTCCAGGCAGGGTGAGAGCTCACACCAGCTGGTTCAACAGAGGGAATTAATTTAGAGAACTGGTTACATAGGTGTTGGAAGAGTTCAAAGAGTGGGCAGGGCACAGCAGGCAACTTGGAGTTAGCTTGGTCCACACCTACTGGTGTGTTACCAGATGCTGAACAAATATTATTTGCTGACCATCAGGAACAGAAAGACTGAGTACTCACTTATGCCACAGTTCTGCTGGTTTAACATCCATCCTAGCATCATGTGGGTATTATTAGCCCCATCTTAAGGAAATGAAGGCTCAGAGCAGGTAGGGAACAGCATGCCCAAGACCATTCCGTGTAAGTGGCAGAACCAGGATTGGAACCTGTGCCCTTTGTACAAAATCATGCTGCCAACCTGCCACCTGTGGGCATCTTTGCTGTCCCAGGAGAAAGAAAACCTTAGGACAGCCATGAGGAAAGCCACGATTTGGGCTCTGCTGAAATCCCCTGGGTTCCCGGAGGACAGAAACAGGAAAGGCCTGGCCTTCGCCCTCCACATCCCACGCTTTCTCCCACACAAGTGGCTCATGGCCACCCCTCTGTCCCTGTTCCCAGTCCAGGCAGAGGGAACCACACGCCACACACCCTGCAGAGGAGTTCAAGGTGCTCAGGGTGGGGCACAGCAGAGGACAATAGAGCCTTTCTCCAAGCTGGGCCCAGGCTGGGGGGGGGGCAGGGAGGGAAGGACTGGCTGAGGCAGAGACAGAGCCCAGCCCACCCAGCCCCTTGGGAGAGCACTGCACTAACAAGAGGTGGCTCTGGGGCCAGCCCCACAGGGAGGGACCCCTCCTGCCTCTCCCCCATTCTTGGTCTAGCTTTTGGTCTTGGGCCAAGATCCCACAGATCAGGACTATGGGAGCCAGTTGAGCAGGGAGGCTGTAGGGGTGACCTCCCTGTCTTGGGTTAGAGGATCTGGGACACCTAGCAAGGCAGAGATGGAAAAAGGAACCTTCCCACCTCGGGGACCCCTTCTTCATGTTCCTTGGACTGCTGCAAGCCCCTCTAAGGGTCTCTACAGCACATTCCAAAGGCTCCTACCATGCCATCCTTCAATTCTTCAGCTCCAACCTTATTCCACTTTGTTCCAGTCAAGCTGCCCAGCAACTTTCCTGCCTCAGACCTCTGCCTGCTTCCGAGAAGATCACCATCTCAGATCTTCCTAACCCACCACCAGATCGCCCATGAGCCTGGAGCTCTTTGTCATTTCTGTTTCTCCAGCTCCAATAAGCACCTGGCTCACAGTAAGTACTAGAGAAATGTTTCTACTAGATCACCACCTATCTTCCTCGGAGTCCACCACTCCTCATACTCTATCATCCAAAAGTAAAGAAAAGAAATCCACTCACCCCTCCCACCTAGGCTGCTTCCTCCCAGGCCACCTGGCACTCCCCCCTGCCCCCCACAACTGGCCCTACCCACTTGACCAGGGGGCTCTGGAGCCAGCCTGTTGGGTACCCAGCCCAATTGGCACCCAGCCTCACACTCACACATGGCAGCTACTCAACAGTAACTGAATCAACAGACATGCTATCCTTAAACCTTGCAATGGCTCTCAAGTGGCTACAAGAAAAAGTCCATAGTTAAAGAGATTTAAAGATTCCATTTTCTTCTTTGGTTTCTCTTTACCCATCTCAGATCACATTGTTACCTGAAAGCTCTACATTCTCTTTCCCACCTCAAAAGCTTTCCCTATGCCTGGATCAGATTCTTTTCTTTCTTCAGAAAGCCCTTCCATTCTCCTCCCAGGTCAAGTTAGGTGCCTCATCAGGTCAGGAGCTGGGCTATCATCACATGTGCAGTAAATACTTGTTTTATTATCTGTCTTCCTACAGACTGTGAGCTTCCTGAGGGCAGGAATCATGTTTACTGCTGAATTCCCAGTGCCTGAAAGTGCTCAGTAAATATTTGTTAAATCAGTTCACATAAAACAGGAAGAATGGGCAAAGGAAGCACCTTTTCTTGTTCAGTCAGAAGAAGGAGGAAGCACGAATCTGGGTGGGGTGGGGATCAGACAGGGGGATTGAGACCTTGGAAGCTGCTCAGTGAGCAGAAGCACCTGGTCCAAGCACCAGCTGCCCCCCCAGCTCCACAGGACCCCTAGCCCTTCCCTCACCAAGCCTGGTCAGAGCTCATGCAGCACCCTTCCCACCAGAGTCCTGGGCCAGTGCCTACAGCCACGACCCTTCCCAGACCAGCGTGGGCCTCCCTAGCGCCAGCCCTTGGTGCCTGTGGGCGCCCAGGTGGCATCACTGTGGGAAGCTCAATGGCTCCTCTGTTCCACTTCTGGCTCCACACCCTGTTCCAGGAAGCCTCAGCCCCCTGCCCTGGGCTGGGGTGCCCAGAGGAGCCACCCATGGGGCTGGGAGACAGCAGCAGCAGCAGAGATGCCTACTGGGAAGCCAGGCAGGACAGACACCTGCCCTGGGCACAGAGGACCCCTGTCATAGGCCCTGCCTGCTTTCCCAGGGGCTTCTAGGTCATGCAAGGAGATAAAACTGCTCAGTGGGGGGAAGCTGCCCCTGTAGACTTCTGACACCTTTGTCCTATCATGACTTGTTTTGTGGATGGGTCCTTTACTGGACTCTGATGTGCTCACTGTTATACACCATGTCCATCTCAGAGCCTGGCACACAGTGGGTGCTCAGTGCACATTTTCTGGAAGCTCAACAGGCCTCCTTCTCCCCAGACCCACAGACTCTCAGATCCCCATTCATCTGAACTCTGACGAACCAGCAGCAGCTGCAGGAGCAGGCTGTCAAGAGAATCAACATCAGGATGGAGATCAAAGCCTCTGGCTCAGGGCAGAAGGGGGAAACTCGGGGGGGAAGGCAGGGAAGACTGATATTCAGGCAAGCCCTCTGACAGTCACAATGCTGTTTAAATGCTGACCATTTCCAAACCAGTAGGTAGGTAGCTGCTGCCCAGAGGGCCTCCGTGTTCCCATACTTCCTGCCAACCAGATCCCTTCCTTTCTATCATCCAGCAGGGTGCCTCCAGGAGCTGGCTCTTGTGCCTGTTCCAACTGGGCAGTGCCCCTCCCAGGGCAGCTGTCAGGCTTTGGCTCTCCTTCCGCCCGAGCCTCTCCTGAGGTGGCCCACAGGCCCACCATCTGGTTGGACCTTCCACTCTGCAGCTGGGCCCTGCTATGAGTCCCTGACCTCCGCCCCCCATGGGGCTTGTGAATCCAGGGGTAGCAAGGGGGCAGAAGTTACAGGATTTGGCTCTGCAAGGTCCCCCAAATCTACCACTACTTTTCTCCATTTCTTTAGTTTACATTTAATGCCTTGCAGCCTCTGTTTTTTTATCTGTAAAATGGGGACAGTATTAGTACCTATCTCATAGGCTTGGGAAAAGGATGTTGAATGTAGAAGTCCTTAGCCCGGAGGCTGGCCCAGGAGTCAGTGCTCAATATATGTTAGCCTCGATGATAATCTCTTATATTCAGGCATTAAGGCCCCAGAGTTTAGGTACTTGTCCAGGGTTCACAGCTTGTAGCAGCAGAGACAAGACTGGGACCTAGGTCTCCTGGCTCTCAGTGCCGTTCCACAGATTTTCCAGAAAAATCAGGAAATGTAGCAACAAATACGTTAGCATGTTAAAGGCTCTGAGAAGTCCTGCAGCAAATAGAGTAGTCTAATTTTATTTAATCCAGCATTTGTCCAAAGTATTTAACTATGAAATCCTTTCAACTGAAAGTCTGTCAATTTGGGGAATGGTATACTATTTACCTTCCCTGAGATCGAACTTTTTGCATCCTCTGCTCCTGCTTATTGGAATGCCTGTCCCAATTTTATCTGCCAGGGAAACTCCTTCACGTGAAACAAATTTGTTATTATCCTTTCTAATTACAAAGCAATGCCGTGCTTATAAAACATTCAAACATCACAGACATGCAATGAATGCTGCCAATCTTTATAACGTGTGTCTGTGGCTACCTTGAGACTGGGTGGCAAGTGTTGGCCTTCATCATTCAGAAATTGGTGAACTCAGTCCAGAATGCACTCCTCATTCCTTCTCTTAGTCTCCTTCCCCTTGTTCACTGGCAAATGCTTAGTGCACACCTCTGTGCTGCAGGGCTCCTCTCCATAAGTGCAAGGGTCCCCTGGCACGGTGCTGGCAGCCAGTCTGGAGTCAGGCTGTCAACCTCGGTCCTACCAGGCAAGTGTGACCCAGCATTCCATGCTTCAGTCTCCCTGTATATAACCCGGGATAATAACTGAATTTCCTCATAAGGTTATGGTAAGGATCAACTGGCCTAGTCCGTGTCTGCTGCTTCAAAATGGAACCAGGCACACAGTAGGTGCTCAGTAAATGTCCACTATTATATTAAAGATGAAGAGATCAAATTCCTGGGTCCTCCAGGGGCTCACAGTAACAGACACAGAACAAGCTCCAAAAGACTGAAGCATCTTGAGGTGCCGTGAAGCTCCACATCTGGGACCCAGGCTCTGGAGGCACCACAGGCTCACTGCACACGGGGATGGGGCCTGGCCTCTGCTGTCACATAGTATCACACTGGTTCTGTGGTGAGGACAGCTGGAGAGGGCAGCAGGTACCCTCCAAACCCAAGCCCCAGCTAGCTGCTCTCATCTCACTCCTGGTCCACAGGGTCCCAGCTGTTCCTGACTCCCAATGGGCAGAGTGCCAGGACTGAGGTGTCACTGAGTCACTGGCCAAGCCAATAAGGAGAAGATGTCTTCTAGAGGGAGTGGGTGCTGCAGTGTGAGGAGGTGTTACTGGGTCGAGTGGACAGGCCTGCCATACTCTCCCACAGGCTTCAGACCTCAGCTCACCCTGAAGCACCAATAGCAGTGCAGACCGTCAGCTCAGGCCACAAAGGGTTAAGAGGTCTAACCAGTCCACAAAGGTCCCTGATCTGGAAGCCTGTCTTCTCCTCCCTCTACTTCCACTGGAGGCCATGTGCAAGATAAACAGATCAGACCTCCAGACTCTGTGGAAGTCATAACAAGGAAAATTAGAGCGAACAAGCAAACTCAAAAAAGTCAAGGACCAGGTCTTCTGGGTGGTGAGTCCCTTTCAGCACCTAGGTGTCAGTTAGTAATACATAAACACTCAATGAACAGTGGGTAAGGGAGGACTCCTACCTGCTCCCCGGTTAAACCCCAGGGCAGGCATGTCTTGTTTCATTCCAGACACCCAAATATCTCCTTCACTTTACTGTGATCTTCCTACCTGTCTGTTCACTCATTCTGTATTTGGGCCTGGAGGATCCAAGTCCATGTGGATACCATCTATGAGGTACATCTATTTGTTTAAGTTCCTAATATTTTTGGGCCCTGTGAACCCCTGTGAGAATCTGAGAGCTGTGAGATTTTTCCCAGAAAAATGCTCAAATATCTGCACGATTTCTGGAGGTTCTTGAGCGCCAGAAACGCCTCCATGAGCTAAGAATAAGAGGCCTAGTTTTGCTTCATACAGGGTGCCTATCTTATTGTTCCCATCACATCCCTCTCTCTCTCTCTCTCTCTCTCTCTCTCTCTCTCACACACACACACACACACACACACCTATATCTTGGCATGATGGAGGCAAAGGACACATTGTGCAGATGGTCACAGACAGCTCAAAGCTTCATCCAATCAGGGCCCCTTTTCCATACCCACCCCCTTTCCTAGACCAGGTTTTTCCTGTAGAAGGTCTGAGAAAAGGGGGCAAAACAAGGGAAGGCCTAGCTCTCTAAACCCTCTGTCAGCCTGGCAGCCAGAAAGGGCCCAACACCATGAAGGAGCTTTTCCTACGGCCAGATGGTGAGTCTCTGCCTTCCCATCCCATGCAGGGGGAGGTTCCTGCTGCTCCCACACCTGTCCTGCCAGGCCTGCCCAGATGGCCACCCTTGTACCCCTGCCAACTGTAGCAGTGGGTCTCAGGGTGGGCCAACAGCCAGAGCCCTGCCTGGGGAGAAGGCTAATGGTCCTGAGCCCCCTGGGCCTCTCAGGGTTCTGTCTAAGTCCCCATTCTCTCCTACCCCATACTCAATGAATTCATTTCCCCTCAATCTCTCTGGCCCACCACAGAGGCATTTCCATCCATTTCATCAAACCTCACAACTCAGGCTCTCTCACAGGGTTCTGACCCACCCAGCATCAGTCACTGGGCTCCAGGAGGAGAGAAACTGGACAGCCCCAGGCACATCCTGGTCCTCAGTGCCCCCCTCAGCTCAGGAAGTGACCCAAAAGCAACAAGCCAAGAGGATCTGCAGGGCTGAGAGGAGGGAGAGCAGGGAGTAGGGATAAAGCAGCCACACAGAACAGAAAAACTGGCTCAGTTCTGCCGCAAGGGCCAGAGCCAGGGCTGCTCACCGTCCAGGGGCAGCAACTCTGGGAGCTCCACAGGTCATGTGCTGGCACTTGGATTTAGGGTAAAGGGTTCAGGTACCTTGTCTGGGCTGTTCCTAAGGGAAGACTCTAGGGTCCTTCGAACCCTGCTCCCAAAGGGGTGGAGCTGCTCTCTCTGAATGGTGGGAGGCTCCAGGTCAGGGCACATGGAGACAGCATCCCTGCCCCTGGGCCACATTGGATGGCATCCTGGGTTCTTCTCATCACACCCAGTAAAGAAGCTACAGATTGTGTGGCTCCTGGGAGATCCTGTTGGATTTCATTCCTGTCCCTGTAGCTGACAAAGGAGTCAGGCGCCTCTTGGGCCCCAAAGTCTGAATAGCCCACAGATCACAGAGCTGGCCCAGGGTGAGGCATGGATGTCCTCAGTGAGAGGAGGCTGTAGGTCTCTGCATGATTATATGGGCACAGTCCCCTCATTGTGGGGTCTTTGTGGCAAAATGTACAAGAGGAGTCTCTGACCCTTGGCTCACCCTGGCAATGGACAGTCACCATTCAGGACAAATTTATGCACCCTTCTTTATGCCAAAAATTGTGTCAATCACTTGAAAGACACAGACATGAGGTGAACACGGTCCTTGTCCTGGAGGAGCCCACAGCTTGGTGGGCAGGCTGTTAAGCCATTGTAAGAGGCAGAGGTCCAGGAACAGCTCAGGCCCAGGTGCCAGTGGGTTGTGGACAGCGGGGAGGAGACTAACTGGTCAATAGTAAGAATAAGGCCCAGTGCTCCCCATGCCTTACTGCCACCACCACCATCACATCGCCCAACAGTGGGGGACAATTAGGAAAAAGAGAAGACTAAGGACATGTGAAGAAAGCACAGCCCCCTTCTGCAGGCTAAGAATCCTAACCCAGGATGGGCAGCCATGCCCCATGGCAGGGACTAGGGGGGGAAATAATTCACATTCCTGAGGCTTCTGCTCTGACCCTGACACATCTCTCTCATCCAGGAAATCAGGCAGGACGGTGCCCTCTCTGCTGAAAGCCTCAACCCTGGAGCCAGTGGATTCTAACAGCAACTGTTCTCTGACGAGGAGAGGGGAATAAGCCACGGAGCTGAGATCCCAGGGGCAAGTGAAGAGGGACAACAGAGCCTGAGCGGCCCAGTCAGTCATAGAATTTAGGGCTAGAGCGACCTGGGGATGGCTTTCAGCTGTCAAGGAGCGATAGGTCAAACTGAGGTTGGGGAGGGGGGTGGCTTCTCCACCGGGGCCCCTGAGACACAACGGGTGTTCTCCGGAACAGTGAATGCCCAGCTCTCCTCTCTATCCCAAGCTTGCAGACTCATGAAAGGTTCTAGACACCCTCAGAATAGACCCAGGGAAGGGGCGGCCAAGAGAAGAGGAGTGGTCTCTGCTAAGCCCCTTCTGGGCAACAGGTTCTGAGCACTGACGGTCCCTACACCTGGGGGGACAAGGGAAGGAGGGCAGTAGTAGAGTCCGAGGGGTCAGCATCCTTAGCACAGAGCTGCACACTGCCCTTTCTAGCTTCCCGAGACAACAGTCCACCCGGCTCCAGTCCGACTGGGTGAAGCAAAGGCCAGCTCTGGCCGTGTCCGCAGGGAGAAACCCAGCCTTCACTTTCTTCCTGGGGCTTCAGCACCTGCAAGGATGTTGGGCTACCGGGGGAGGAGGAGTGGAGCTTTGTGCTGGCTCTGCCCTGGGGGGAGGGGTCAGAGATCAAAGGGCAGCCAGCTGCTGCTCCCAGTGGGCAGAAAGGCCATGGGGGG